TCTGCTTATTGCCAGACAAAAGTGTTCGATTATTAGTTTATTTAATTTCAAAAAACAGGAGAGCTTTTATTGCTTTACATTATTTTTTTTAGCCCAAAATGGCGTTATCCAAGAAGGACTATATAATCTCGAAACCGCATTTTGCATCGAACGTCTAAAATCATTGAATCTCTTTTCAGATTATGGCTACCAAATGTTACAGCCCTGTATTATACTGTTTAAAGAAATTAAATAATGAATAATCTGCATGAATCTGTGAATGTTTCTCGCATTATAAAAAAAAAAAAAAAAAAAAAAAAAAAAAAACAGTATCTAGAATCATCCAATTTTGAATAACGTAGTGCTGCATTCGAATATGGGCACCTGGAAGCCCGAATTTTGAATTTGTTTTATTATTTGTTTCATATTTTGTAAAGACTTTTTGATTAAAATGATCAATGATTTCAAAAATAAAAAGAAAAGTAAAAAAATTGGTGAAAGTAAAAAATAAAATAAACTGAAAAGAATGCGGATCATAAGTGGTACATTTTAGTTTTATTTCTTACTAAGTTTCTAATAATCTTTCTGCAGAGTATAAAATTGATATTTAAAAAGTTTTAGTACATTTTTTTTTCTGTATTATATGTCGCTTTTTCAATGCTTTATTGCGTAACATATTTTTTAAATGTAACAAGCGTTTGAGATACACATATGTTCTAGAAAAAAGTTTTTTTTCTTTATTTTAAATTAAAAATATAAAATATAATTAGAAAAATGTCTCTATATATAATAATACGCTTTTATTTATTATGGTTATGAAAAATAATGATCGAAAAAGAGAAAAATGATTTATCTTAGAGTTTAATGAGAATAATAGATTAAATAATTTGAATTCGTCAACAATTTATATTGCGAATAATAAATGTATGGGGATGTCATGCTTAGACAAATGACAACATTTGACTTTTGGCATTAATATTCGACAATGCAATTTAATTAATAGATTTCTTTATTTAGATATATTTTGATATTCGAGGTATAAAATTGTAGAGAAATTCTCTAAAGAGAGTTATTTAAACTGTTATTCCCATTTTTCTCCTTAGTATATTAAATATCATACCCGTTTTAATTAAAAGCTTTTTTTATAAACATCTTTGTTTGATTTTATTTATATTTTTAGTGTGAATTATACCTTACCGGCGTTAAAATCTTTAGTCACGTTTAAAACACAAGCAACACAATATAGAAAAATTATGAAATAAATAAAATTAACTGCAGGAAACTCAGAGAAAGGAGAAATCTCACTGAATATTCAGTTTCGGAATTTGGATGGAATAACAATGCTAAAGGAGCATTTAACTTAAAGCTAAAATGAAAAATTTAGTACCGGGAGTTCATAAAATGCACCAAAATGATGAACTTCGTTATTAAATACACCATGATTAAAATCGCTCAATTAATAATTTTTTATCATTCTTGTTCATGGAAAGTTTCCTTTATCCACAAAATTAGTTAAGGATGGTCTAACTCGCTTAATGAATATAAAGCCAGTACCAAATATGTGTTTCTTTTTATTCAGTTTTCAGCTGCAGGTATAATAATGTAATGAAGTGTAAAAAAAGAAAGGCTCAAAGTTTGATTTTTCAGGACGCCTATGAAACGAACTTTTATGATGCTATTAAACGTAAGATAAAATATCAGATAAGAATACATTGGGAAATAAAAGTGAAATAGGGTAAAATTAATGGATTATTGTACTTCATAGCAACTTATAGCACGAATTTAAATCAATTCCAAAACATAAACGCGGTGAAAAGAGAATGAGACCTACTATTTCCACCTGTACTTAAGACTTATCTGAATGGTAAATCGGTAATTCCTTATTAAAACTGTATCAAATATTAACTTTGGGCCTAAAAATATCATTTAAAGGTTTATATTTTGCACACTGAAGTAAAATTTCCTTTAAATTTCTCGTCGTCAAGCAGAAATTTACGTATTAGGCAGCAATCGACTCGGATTACAGTGCTTCGTTATGAAAAAGTGTACTGCTTTTGAGAGAAGCAATAACCATTTAGCCAAAGGGAGACGCTACTGGTGTAGAAACTGTATTGCACCAGATGGCGCTGTGTGCGCTTGAATTCCTTGGACTAGAGCTTCACTTGAATTCCTTACCTTGATGATTGCGAAATATGCAGGGGGGGGCCCAAGAGCGATGCGCAGTGCAGTGAGAAAGTTATGCCACATGCGCATGACGTCATGTGGGTGACAGCGTTAGTTCTTGGCGTTTGTTTACTTTCGTTGCATCAACAGTTTGATTTGATTTGTGTTGTTAATTTGCTATTATACCTAGGCGGAAGTGGCAAATTGTGCTATAGCGTTGTGTCAGAATTATACACGTTAATACGTTTTTTGGCGGAAAACACTCTTTACAACCAGATAAAATAACTATTTTTTTAATGAATTTATGTAATTTTCATACATAAATGTGATGTAATTTTACATTTATTTTCATTTTGCTGCTATTTTACATTTAAAATTGAAAATTTCTCATTTTAAATCATTTTTTATCATAATCTTCATTTTGTGTATGAGACTTACATCGTAGTGAGATATTTAAACTCAGTGTCATGTTTACCAATACTGAGTACCTGAATGATTAGTTAATAAATTCGCGTATATCCAACTTCATTTACATGTTTTGGTTACTTTCTTTACATCCTCAAACGTAATTCTATGCATTGAAGCAGCGTCTGGGTTAAGCATTGCGAACTAAGTAAACTGATACATGCCTCACCGTGAGGAAAGAACAATTTCTCGACCACACTATGATGCAAACATCGAATGAGTGAGTGACATATTTCCTTCAGTGTTATTTAACTGATGCATACAGGTATGTGTGATGTAATTTAATTGATATAACTTACACATGCTTGAACCTGAAGGAAAACAAATCTGTGTATAATGCCAGAATACAAATAGCGAAAGAGTAAGTAAGATATTCGGTTCAGTTTTATTTAACTGCTGCATATGTTTTAATTTTGATTCCATATAACTTGTTTTTAATTATAAGAGAAAGAAAAATAATTCAATATTGAACACATATTTCGAGTATAACAAAAGTATTTTAAGAAATAACCTGATAAAAATACATTAGTAATTAAAAATATTTAATTTGTGTACAGGCTGAATTGAAATTAAGATGTGGTGGTGTATTTAATTATGGCAAAGCACACTAGGGCTATCTGCATAATAGGTGTGATGCCTTCGTGGAGGACCTTCTCAGGGAAACTGGCTCGTATACACGTTACGCATGAGGAAAACCACGAAAACACCCATGCAGCCAGCCCATTCGCGGGATTCGGACCCGAACTACCAGTGTTCAGCGACTTACCGCTCGGCCGCTGGTGGGCCGAAACTAAGATGTAGGGCAAGTTTATTATTATTATAATGTGTGCGTATATGTGTAGAAAATGTATTTTAATTGTTCCATTTTTAATGTATGGAAGGAAGAATAGGATGCCAATATCGAAGATTATTTACTATAGCAAATAATCACGTCAGGATAAATGTTATATAGAGAAATCTTGTTGAGTGTAAGGGATTATAAGAGTACTTTAGATATTATACTGAAAATATACGCACTTCTGCTAAAATCTGAAGTGAATCAGTATGAAGTGACTTTTCACTTTAAAAAGAATGAGATAAGTATACTATTTAAAAGTATAATGACGGATATTAAGAAATTTGTAGAATTTTGTAGTATTTGAATATGAATTTGTTAAGTCAAATCTTTTATATATATTTTTTTTGCTTGAGATATGTAATTTAAACTGAAATCACGATCATATATTTCTCATGGAATGTCAAAGTTCATTTGTATTAAAAAAAAAGTGCATGAGCAATGAAAATAAATAGAATAATACTTTTTGATTATGTTTTTAACCATGGTCTTAGCATTTATGCCATCATGTGTTCTGTTCACAACAAGATTTATTTAGTGCAAACAATACTACGAAAAAATATTGAAAAATACCTTGTTTTACAATATTTATTTCCCTTAATTAACTTAAATATCGTTTTTTCATTTTCTAATGCTTTCCTTTACGAAAAGAATTTAATGTTTACAATTATTTTCAGCATTGGTACGAATTCTGTGCATAAAATAAACATTTTCTCAGGTGTTCAGGTTCTTCAGGTGTATCTACCACATATAAAATGATCATTTTGCTTTAGTTTACATTTTTTCCATTACCAAAATCATGTAGCAGACGCGTCGGCCGATGCGTCTTGTCTCCCGGGTGACGTCACTACCAGCAACCAATGGCACGCTTTTTCCGTTCCTGGCCTAACCTTAGTATATTAAAGAACCTTGCGAAATATGTTACAGCAACGCGGAACATTAACCACAATTTATATGTGCCTCTCTTTGTTGTAAATGTATTTAATTGTGTCGTCAATAAAATATAGAGAAAATGATAAAAGGCGAGAATGCGTCTGACAGGTAAGTGAGATTTCTTTATATTTTGATTTGAATTCATTTTTAGCGACAAAGAATGTATATGCGTATTTACAATTGGTATCGAAAGCCTCGAAGAGGTGTTTGGTGTTCGACGTCGACAAACTTTACAGGCACAATGGCAGGCTTAAGTTTCATCTACGAATGCGATCCAAAACTGTCAGCAGCATCTGAAAACTTGTCAGAGCGTTAAGCTAATCTTTGGAATATGGTAACAGGTAGTTTAACAGTGTACATGGATAAAGTCAAGAGTGTGCGCAATGCCGTTTTTATGAAATTCTGGGATTTTTTTAAGTGAAAATAGGTCGACGTGTATATGGTTACCGTGTATGTGCAATTCTTAAAAACTCGGCTAGCAGTTTGCGATTCTGCACTTTCTCCCAATTTCGCACCTAATGATGATTAAGCACTTTTGTTCCATAAAAGTTCTAGCATAAGCGTAATTCGGCAAGCAGATTGTTGGAAAAAAATTTTGTTTAAAAAAAAACCCTTTACTTCGTGAAAACGAAATGGCGTCCAAACAAAAACTAGCAGGTTGCTGTAGCAGGGTTGGTCGCCAAAAAATCGCCAAGTTACCATAATCCAAAGATTAACCGAGCGTTATATTGAATGATTGAAAAACGTGAATTCTTTACATGTGTGTAATTCTTATTTCTGTACTGTTAGAGAAGTACCGAGCTTTAATTTCGTTGGAAACCTATTTCAAAGTTCTGAGATAAAATATATTTCCACGTTGTATCGACGTAAATCAAATCAGTGTTCCGTCAAGTAAATTAATATATGAACTATTTATTTTGCATAAAAAAATTTACGAAAATCCCAGTTGAAATTATAGCGAAACGCTTTGTCAAAAAACGAATCTCATATGTAATTTGATTTTGTACCGTGTTCCTTAATATCCTGTAACCCTCGCGATTCGCAACGAAATGTTTCAGATTTTAACGGTTGCCCCAAAGGCTTTGTTAAGGTATTTTATATTCTTACTGAGCTTGCATGTTACCAGTTTGACTGCCACGTTCTCTCTTGCTAAACTTTTTTTTTTGGGGGGGGGTCGTTGTAGCTTTATGATTAATCATCTTTTTTTTTTTTTTTGTACGCCACAAACAATTCAACAGCAAAATCATTAAATTTATAAAAAGCCTTTATATTAGCATATGTTCAGAATTCCCGATGCTATATTAAGTGTTGGCATGACCTATTATTATTATTTTTTTTCCCAGTCTCACTAATAGTAAAGTTCAGGGTAAAATCCTAGTATACGGCGCAGCCTTGGCGCGATTTTGAAAATTATCGCCAACACCAAAAATAACCCAAAGAACGTCTGTATATACTATGCACTATATACCATCACTATATATATAGTATATACTATGTACAACTATATATATTCTTTGAATGACCCGTTTACTACTCATCGTATATGTCGAGTTTTTACTGCTCATCATAAAGTAGCCAAATCCCGTGTGCACCAGATACTAGGATTAAATCAAGTTCAGTTTGCTAGGTAAGATGATTTACAAAACATATCTTTGCCTTTTTATTATTTTAACTTTCTGTATCTTAACTGTATTTATTAAATATCATTTCCCTTATGCTGCCTAAAATTCAGTTCACAGGAAAATCACAAAATACTTAAATACAGCATATGTTTACAATTCCCGATAGAGTGTTAAAGATTGTCGTACATATTTTTATATTTGCTATATTTTTTCTGTAAAAACTAGTCATATTATGAAAAGGAGAAAGTGTATAATGATTTCAGTTACTGCAATTAGTGTCATATTTCATAATAATATTCCACATTTCTAATTAGACATCTCATGATTTTGATACATAAGTATTTTATTTCCGGCCGAAGCGGAAGATTGCTTTCATAGAGCCGAGTTTGTAAACTAGACCCGAAAGATAAATATTTTACATTAATGAAATACTAATTCAAACTTGTAACTATCATCAACGTCAATTTAATTTCTTTGGTTGGTTCAGTTTTTATGTAATAGGTGATAAAATGCTCTGTCTAAAACATAACAACTAATTTATTTACTAGTTATTGATATAAAAAAATCCATACAATATTCTTTTGTCGCTAATTCTTAGGGCTGGTGACTACCTTACAAAACATTTTAACTCCTAGTCTCGTTACAGTTCCAATTCTAGTAATCCTACCTTGAAGAAGCAGGCAAAGTACAGTGCCCTCTACAGGCGTTTTGCAACAGCATTTCTTCGGAATGGCAACAGTCTTCTCGCTGGAAATATAAAGGTTTTTTTTTAACAGTGTTGCGACTGCTCATCTTGAAATCGTTGAGTTTCTTAATCGAAAACTCGCTGATGATTTACAAAAAATCCAATAAATAATAAAACAAATTCGAAATTAAAAATTCGGGATTCCTTTGTGCCCATATTCGGGGGGGGGAGGCCTACGTTATTGAAGGTTAAATGGCTTGTCGTTTTCTCACAATGCGAAAAACATACATACATATATGCGCATACAATTTTCATTATTAACTTCTTTAAACATAATAGAGGAAGATAATATTTGGTGGCAACATCTCAAAAATCGATATGCTGTTGATAATCAACCGACCCCAAATCCCATTTCGAAAAATAGCCCCGTTTGGGCTAGAAATGATTATTTTATTTAAAAATTACTTTGGATAGCATTTTGACAATTTCTAATTTCTGCTCGATTTGTACATTGCATATCATAATACTGTAGTATTAAGGAACAACAGAGTAAAGCATTTTTTGGAATGAAATTTCATTTCTGGAATAATTTCATTACAGCTTTCAAAGATGCTGAAAATGTGTTTTGAATTGTTTACTGTGTTGCATTGTGACATATAAGAATGCCTTCCTTTAGATTATTTAGCAATGTACAAGAAATTGAGATATCTTGATCTTTGATATTCATTCTTAACTTCCACCTAATCTTTGGGAAATCACAGGTTTTCTTATTAATCAACTTGTGTGGTTCCAGCCTCTTATCAAATAGCTAAATGTGGAGGAAGCTAGTTAGCAGCTAAGCAAATAATCGCTTCAGATCAGGAATGGATATGTAAACTCAAGAAGGGTTAATTACCCTTTATTTCTCAATATAAGAAGTAAACAGACAACCCTTTTCCCAGGGCACACAGCAAAGCCTCCACTTGGGCTTGAACTCAAAATAAGAACTAATGGTTAATTGCAAAGATTTAGCCGAAGCTATCAAAATTCTAAGCAATTGGCTCCTAAATATCGCATAAGCTAACGAAGCTAACAAGGGCTTGTAATATGGCCTAGCGTAGTAACAACTCAGAGAGACTTGGCCAAAAGGCAAACAATGCGCGCTAGTCAGAAATTCTGAAACTTTCTCTCGAAGACAGTGGAGCTTCGACTTAAATACCTTGTCTTACTCATTTGCATTAAACGCAATTCTAAAAGCACATTCTAGTAGAAAATTCTAAGCCGAAATTAGAACGGACAGGAAAGTAGCTTTAACGAAAATTCACTGTTAGAAACTGAGGATAAACCTTATAAACTTTTGAGTTGGAGCAGAAGTTGCGTTTCTGAACTTTCATACATTTACGCGTATTTATATTTCTCGATGTTGCAGGTTGATATCTCTATCTGAATTTCTTGTATATTACTAAATATTTCAAACGAAAACTTTCTTGCTACCATGAATGGTAACTATCATATACGCTTTTTCCCAGTTAAGACGTGCATAATGTATCATTACTTAAATGCATATAAATTTTAATTAATACAGTCAAAAGTCGTTAATCCGGACTCATCGGGACTTCGGCGATTCCGGATTATAGATCATCAGTTTAAATCTGGTAAGATTGCAAGCAGAAATTACAAAATTAAAAATATGAAACCGTAATTTATGAAATAAAGAACAATTATGATCTAAAGGGTATCAAAATTCGCAAAAAGAAAAAGCTTAATATTTATTTGTTTACTTTATTAAACATTTCTTTCAATGTAAGTTGTTTAAGTTTTGCTTCGTTTCATGTGATAATACTTTCTCTTTAATTCTATTAAACAGACATAATTCCTTGTTCAGTTACAAAGTTCCGCTGTTCAAGTCCTGTAATTGCTGTGTCGAGAACACCGACTAATTTGTCAAGACTAATTTGTCAATCGAAATTTTTTCGTTTTCAATAACCTGTGTCACTTTCTTTGCTATCAGAAGCGAATTATAATGACGAGGAACTTGTTTTAAATCATATCAAAGACAGAGCATATCGAGATGAAATACTACATTTGGTAAGGAATTATAAGCCAAATAAAATGAAAACATCTGTGCTGAAGATAAGGATAGTGCTGACAGATCAACTTCCAATTCATTATGTGCCCACGGCGGCGGCGTTCCCCCCGCCGAGCAGCCATGAAATTGATAAACAAATTTCGGATTTCAAAACATACTTTCGCTTTAGATCCTTTACATATTAACAAATATATATCGGAAATTCTATTTGATATAATTGAAAGTTTAAGCTTACTTTTATAAAATTGCTCTTACAGTCTGCAAAAAAATAATAAGCCGGATCCAATTCAAAAATTAAGGAACAACGCAATCATCAACATTAACTGAAATAGATAATTAGATAATTTTAGCTTATACGTCCATTATACATAAAACGCGCACGCGAAAACGTATTCTGCACTTGCGCACACTCATATGCGCAGTCGTAAAATGTCTTATGCGCATGTGTAGAAAGTTTTTAGTTTTCAGGTCCGGATTATAGATCATTCCGAATTATGGGTGTCCGAATTAACGACTTTTGACTGTATTCATTGTTATTATGCTTTTACTTATTTATACGTCTTCAATCCCACACTTTCAGTTAATCATAATGCAGTTTTTTGGTATTAATTTTTTGCTTCTTTTTAGTTCGGGAAGAATATTTAATATAAGCAAATTATTCTCAAATATAAGCAAATCGGTTCTACAGGCTGACGCGGAAGAAAAACTTTCGTTCTATCCGCATGTATATTAATGTTGAAAGAAGTAATAGTGATTAGCCAGAAACAAAACCCCTTATTCTTCTGGAATTTCTAAAATTTCTTTAAAAGAATGCCGCATACTTTCAGAGTTTACTTCTCTTTATTGCACTACATGAAGAGTAAACTTGATGTAATACGAAAAACAAAATTATGTTCGTGTTAAAACATTTTTTTTTTTTTTTCTTTTGCAGGATATAAGAAATCTCGTTGACGCAGTGAAGCTAGCTTTGAAGAATGGTGATACTAGCACTATTAAAAGATATTTAAGTCGAGGTTACCATTTGCATTATATCTTCCCTCTGGCAAAAAAAGGGTCTCATTGGATTATCTGTTCGTGCTCTATTCTTACGAGTGAATGGTATTTTACCACTTAATTTTATGTGATTTGTACATTTAGGTTTAGTGTTTAATGATCGTAAAAGCACCATTAAAATTAAATTATATTTTTTGCTTTCAATTAAGAACAGCGGTTTATTTATTAAAATTTTGCTAAGCTTTATTTATTTTGTCTCCTTGTTGATGTCCAGTAAAAATATTCCTTGAATACAAGGTAATTTTTACTATTTCAGTCCTATCCCTGCGTGAGAATATGTCCTTCAGGGCTATGTATTAGGGCAGATCAAAAAGTAAATGGCACTTCCAAGTTGTGGCCATTTATTTAATTGTCAATACAAAAGCAACACGGCTATGACAGCATACAATGTCAGTTCACTTTTCCACATAGTTTCCAAGACACTCTAAGCATTTCTCCGAACGGACAACTAACTTTTGGATTCCTGAGGCATAGAAATCTTCCCCAGTGCTATGTAACCACACGGACACAGCTGCTTTCATCACCTCATCGTTTCGGAATCATTGTCCACCGAGAAGCTTTTCAAGCTTACCGAAAACGTGAAAGTCGCATGGCGCCAAATTGGGACTGTATGGAGGATCTTGTCATACCTCCCACTTGAATTGCTGCAGCAGGTGGCACGTTTGGCGAGTCTTGTGAGGTGTTGCGTGATTTTCGGTAAGCATATTGGTGGACAACGTTTCCGAAATGATGAGGAGGTAAAAGCAGCTATGTCTGTGTGGTTACATAGTGCTAGAGGAGATTTTTTATGCATCCGGAATTGTAAAGTTGGTTGTCCGTTCAAAGAAATGTTTAGAGTGTCTTGGGAACTTATATGGAAAATTGAACTTACATTGTATGCTGCCATAGCCGTTTTTGCTTTTGTATTGACAATTTAATGAACAGTCATAACTTGGAAGTGCTTGATCTGCCCTCGTAGCTTTAAAGATTCTTCTGATTTTATAGCGATAAATCAACGTTCAGTGTTTTTTCTTGAAACAATCTTTTCCATTCAACGGCATTGTTAGAAAAAGAAAACATTCAAATATTTATTGTCAGATTTTACTTTAAAAAAATTGAAACTCGAGAGTGAACAAATTTAATTTCTGCTTCATTAATTAAATAACTTTTCTATCCTTTTCGTGCATTATTGATATGGAATAAGCTTCTTCTTAGCGGTAAAGAAATCTATCTACATTCTTTAGAGTCAAAATGAAACTAACCGTTTTTGTCTTTTGTGGGTATTTATTTTGCAAGACACTGTATTTATCCACATGACACTTTATTATATACAACACACATCATCAAACTGTACATAAAAGCGTACAAGTACACATGTACAACTCCAACTATCCACGATAACACTTGCTTCACGCACTCCGCGGTGCTTAGTGCGGCTTGGCGCCCGCCAGTTCTAAGTTCGATTAGGGTCAAATTCTCGTACACCACGGTGCATCATACAACAATATGTCATGGTTTCAGAACTTATAGATCTACAGACATTTAAAGTATTATGAAAATATTCCATAAATTGATTTTGTGTTAAAAGAAACACAATGCTGGGTAAAAAATTAAAATTTCTCTCTGTCAAGTTGGTTTCTGCTTTCTATTTGAGAGGAAAGAGAACTTTTTGCCATTTTATTGACTAACTTTAAGCTTAGGAATTAATTGTTTTAAGAGTTTTACACGTTTCTAATAAATGTTCCTTATTAATTTTTATATTCAACATTAAAAAAAATCATAAACATATTTTGTAGTGTATATTTTTTCTTCGTAGCTTGTTTTTGTGATTTGATAGGTATGTAGAAGAGACATACTGAGATTCTAGTAATTCTTAAACATTGCTCTTTGATAAGAACGTCTTTAAAATATTATTAAATTATATAGGAATTGATATTTACCTTATTTCTAGAACTTAACATTTTAAATAATTCTAAATTTCAGAAGACTATCTATCTTGTGGTAATCAATGGATAAATCCTAAGGAGTCCTTAGGGAATGTTGGCCGAATTGCTTCTAGAAAAGGGAGCTGACCTTGCCAGCAGAGATACATTCGAGCGAACAGCTCTGCATATTGCTTGTGAAGGAAAATCTTTAGGTAATGTTAAAAATATTATGAATACATTTTCATATTTTTCCTCATTTATGTAGCTAAATAACTTGTTCTTTGGAAGAGATATTAACGTACCGAACATTTAATGAAGATAATAGTAAATGAATTGTTAAAGAAATTTCTGAACTTTTACACTATTTTATTATACTTGCATCAAAAGAAAATTAAAATTTAATTAATATTATTATGATTACTATTATGACAATTCTAACATAATGCATTTAATTATGTCATTACGTGTGTACGGGCTCATAATTTATTGAATGGTCACTGGTCTGATGATACCTTGATAAAATTTATTTTCCCAAATGGAACTCTACCATTCTGAAACTTTACACAAAAGTACTCTTAGAGGTTCTTCTCAGCATGGCAGAGCACAATCAGTAGCTACCACTTCAAATTACGAACTAAGTCAGAACAGCAAAGTGTAAGGCACAGCTAAAGAGATTTAAGCCCGCACGGAGATTTCTTTCTGCTGCAAAGTCAGTTCTAAACTAAACGAAAGAGAACTGTTGCTCTGTGAGATCTTATGTGGTTTCCTCGGGGCCACAGGCAAATTTTCGGTATCTTCCATTACTCATAATCGCTCGAAGATATGTACAGCTAAAATTACATATAAAGGGCCAGATACGGTTACAGTTACGTATAGAAAAGCGAGTTCGGCTTAACCAATTATTCAATTATAGTTATATCGGCACCAGTCCAAACTGTCACCGAATGCTCGCCCAGTGCGGGTACCTTTCGTAATTTATCTCCAAAATCGATGTCAAAAATTAATTGCTAAAACTATCGTGATCTTATCGTTATCTTTCAAATTTAGCAAGGTAGCCATTTACCTCGATGTTAAAGAGTCCCTCTAATCTTATTATTCCGGCAAGGCTTCGCATGTCTGAAGCAAAATTAGTAACATTATCTTAATTATAAATAAACGTCTTCGATAGGATATAGGAATTGAGCAATGACAGATAAAAACGAATCGTGCTCATTCATTGTAAGTGACGTGTCTTCTTATTAATACAAGAAAGTAATTTACAAATTTTAACAACTGACTTAACGGAACACACCCGTGTAGCTGAGACGTAATATTGATAGAACTAGAATGGTCATTCTACCACAGGTCAGAAATCGGCGACCATGTTCGCTTCAGATATAAAGCGAATAGGGTAAACATTCCCTTAAAATGTTTTGGGCGAAGGTGTGCTTTTAGCTTTATTCCTTAGGTGAATTGGGATAATTTAAATATGCTAGTACACACTTTGTCTTGTGAACGCTAGGAATCTAGAGAAAGAGTTAGTAAACCAAATATCAGCGAGAAAATAACCAGAAAGGCGGGCGAATGAGGCTTTTGAAGTTTTCTAATTTAAACATGATTTTTCTAAATGTGTGCAAATGAGGTTCCCATTGGTTGATACGTCGGCAAAAATATCTAACATTTCATTTAATTATTCGAATATTACACAGATAAGTGGTTTGTGGACACACTTTTCTACTGTCCATTAAAAGTGCTTAGGGCTTTTGGAAATGATTTTTGGTTCTTTAAAATTCGAAATCTTATTCAAAACTTGCCAGCCCTCTTGAATTTTGGTAATCTGATTTTTCTGTTCTTTGCCAGAGGTTGCAATTCAGAGTGTGAAGTAATAGTTTGGATGAATGTGGAGTTCAAACCACATGGCTTGCTATGAAACCTCGAAAATTTGCTTTTTAAACAACAAAGCCAATTGGACACTCTAGAATGAAATTTTTGGACCTGATTTATTTTTCGTCCAGTCTTTCACAATAGCTATTGTCAACACAATTCTATCAGGTCGTATTGCAAAAAAGGAGTTTCTTTTATTTTAGCCTTCTCGTTAAGGCTGGGCATTGACGTCTGATGAAATAGCAGTCTTCAAGAAAGTCAAAGCATGATTTTCATAAACATCATGCTTCCACCCATTGTTAATCTATGAATGTATTTGAAAGTTTTTCAAAGGTACAGCCCACGGAGTATAAAGATAGAGGTGAAATTGCATAGTAGACTAACGAACCCATCATGTCCTGTTCACTAGATAGCGCTCAGATGTCTTTTAGGCATTCCAAATGTAAGCATTTATATGCTTCTCGACGAAGCTAAGCTTCGCAATGGAGGAGAAAATGTTTACGTTTTTACGCTGGATTTTCTTTTTAGCTATTTATACAAATTTTTGTGATTGTGGGCTAACATTCTATTAACTAAAATTCTTGGTTTCTCTTCACTAATGATTGTATTCTACTCTTCAAATTATCAAAAGTTAATTACGGTATTCATGGTTAAAGGATTGTAGTCCTTTTTATGAATGAAGAAGTCGATTTTCAATTCCCCTCCCTAAGAAAAGAATCATATTACTATTAATAATATTTAGTGCATATACGCTAAATTAAATTAGTTTTCTTCCCTCTGTTATTTTCTTAAAATACTTGTATCACAACACAGATTGGTATAAATTATGACGAAATTTTAGTAAATGAAATTCCGCGATTTCATAATACTTATAGTTTTCATCAATAATATAAAGTATATAAATTCCATAACGTTCATAATATTCATTCATTACCGTAAATTTTGTGCTTTGGTCTATAAATCTCTTTTCTGTCATAATGAATTATTCATGATCGTGAATCAAATAGGCATTTTGATCTTGGTATTTTTATCATGTTTCGTTTATAATTTCCGTCTTTGGGATTTTAAAAGGACAACTTAGTCTCATAGTAGTGTTTTCATATCAGCCTCTGAAAAATGATGTTCACGATTGGAATCATTCCCTGAAAGTATTCTGTTTCCTCGAGGATTGCATGCCTCTATTCTTCTATTAGATTTGGTTTGGTTTAGTTCAGCGGTTCTCAACCAGCGGTAAGCAAGAGAAAAATAGGTGGTTTGCAAAGAAACAAAGTACACACTGCTGGCCGTGGAAATTGCAATACCATGAAGGAAAACAAATACAAGAAATCTGTTGTGTACACCACGACTTCCTTCTACGGAATATTAAATTGCACGCAACTGTCTTGCTTTTCATTTAAACATATTGAATTAACAGTTAACGAATTTTGAATTAAATCTACTTCGTGGATAGAGGATAAACATGAATAGACAGCGCACAATGATTTTAAAGTTCACTATATTTATTTACCATAGCGACACTTCGGCACTAGGTTAACTTAACAGTATTACATCTCATTCATTTTATAACTCAGAGAGCACACTACAGGGGAATTTCTAACTTTAGAGTGCGATATCAGATTATTTGATCAACGTTGGAAAAGGTTTTAATTAGCATTCACTTGATCAGCTTCATTTATTAAATCTGGAGCCATCAGAAAGAGCTTGAGAATAACCTATTTTATAACGAAACGGTCTGTATAACTTTTATGTTGAGAAACAATTTCTATTTCCGAAATGTTACATATCCTCTAAAATTGGTTGACTTGTAAAATTGGTGACTAAAATTGGTTGAACACTAAAATAACCTTGTCATCATCTCTATCGCCTGAACATTGACTTTATTTTGACACTGAATCTTTCCTCATAAATCTGTTTACGGATATTAATTTTTGGCAAAGTCACTAGGAAAAGTGGTAGATTGGTTTCTTCTCCATATCTTCTTCTTTAAAGATGTCAGAATGTCATAATTGTTTTTCCTACAATTGAAAAGCTATATCTTCAGTATATATGTATGAAGAAAGGTTTCTTAAGAAAAACCTTTGGGATTTTCCTTCTGGTAGATCAAAGCATTTGTACTTTTTACAACACTTTTAAAAAAGCGTAAAATCTACATAAACACCGATAAAGTCTCGTGATCTGCAATATCACGTACGCTGAGCAGAAGAAGAAGTTCTTTATTCAAATTTCACGTTACATCCATTCGCACAGTGCCAGCTGCTTGGGTTTTAAAAGGCAATGTGTTACGTTTCGAATCAATCGGATTGAAAGTTTATGTGCAATGTCTCCTTCTTTAGTCGAGCGTGCGTTACTGGTCAAATTCTTTTACCTCAACCAGTGCAACGCGTCAGCCGCTCTTCGTGCTTTTAGAACGCACAAAAAAAAAAAATGCGTAAAGGTAACGGTCCTGTGTCAGTTAATGGGCTAAAAGCAATGGTTGCGACGTTTGAGAAAACAGGTTCTCTGAAGGTTCAGTCAGGCAGAGGACGAAAACCTGTACCACAGGATACAATCGAAGCAGTTGCCACGGCAATTGTCGACAGAGGACCAGACAATATTGCTGCCACCTCTAGCGCTCGTGGAGTAGCTCGGAATATGGATATGCCTTACAGTACGGTATGGAAAATCTTACGAAAGATTATCAACTTCTATCCGTACAAGATCAGCCGTGTACAGGAGTTACTGTACCCCGACCATGATAAGCGATTGACTTTTGCTCTCACCTTTCTTGCCAGAATGGAGGTGGATGATGCTTGGCCGTGGAAAATCTTATGGGAAAGACGAGGCCCACTTTTACCTGAATGGAACTGTGAATACCCAGAACTGCCGAATTTGGGATGACAAATCACCACATGCAGTCACAGCAATTCCCTTACATTCACCAAAGGTAACTGTTTGGTGTGGGTTCACAGCGGAATTTATCGTAGGTCCATTCTTCTATGAGAACATTACCCCGACAGGACCGGAAACCTGTTCTGTTACCGGAGAGAAATATCGCCACATGTTGAACAGCTTTGTCATTCCGGCACTTCAGCAAAGACAATGCCTGGGGAAAATCATTTTCATGCAAGATGGAGCCCCTCCACACGTTGCTGTACGGGTGCAACAGATGCTACGACAGAAATTCAAAACAGAAAGAGTCATTAGCCGCTACTTTCCAACTGCATGGCCACCTCGGTCGCCTGATCTTACCCCATGCGACTTCTGGCTATGGGGTTACCTTAAGTCCAAGGTCTATCAAGGAGTGGTCCAGGACCTGGCTACGTTGAAGGATAACATATCACGGACTGTACGGGAGATTCCTGCAGACATG